AGTCCTGGCTGACCTGGAACTTGTAGTCCCAGCTAACCTCAAACTCATGGAAATTCTTCTACTTCAGCCTACTGAATGCTGGGGTTACAGTGTAGTACAGCACACCAGGCCCTGAATCAGGTTTTTACCTTTTTTTTTTTTTAATTTTGAAAGAGCTAGAACTTTATATTGCTATCCATCCTATTGATAGCTATGATAGGCACTTGCTTCCCACTCTTAGTAAAGGAAAACTAGCCAATAGCCTTCCAGACCTACTGTCTGCCAGCCACACATTGTCCATTTGTATGCTAAGCACTGAAAAGACCAGCATGGACAGCTCTTACTCTCCGATGGTTTGTCTGAGGAAACGCCTGCAAAAATGTAGGGGGATATTTGGGAGAAGGGCTAAAAATTTCTACCTCATTAACTTTTGAAAATTGCAACTTAGAGCCTGTCTTAACAATGTTTTCCTCACATCATAAGCTAGAGATTCACACAGCTTCATGTGGCAGCTTCTGGAAGCATCCAAACAAGGCAGGAACTGTGACAATAACCCAAAGAACCTGCCACCTGTGGAGAAGACAGGATACCTACTCTTTTTTAAAAAAAAAGATTTTATTTATTTATTATGTATATAACATTCTGCTTACATGTATATCTGCACACCAGAAGAGGGCACCAGATCTCATAACAGATGGTTGTAAGTCACCATGTGGTACCTGGGAATTGAACTCAGGACCTCTGGAAGAGTAGTCAGTGCTCTTACCCTCTGAGCCATCTCTCCAGCCCAGGATACCTACTCTTAAGGTGAACTTGTAGGCTCAGACTGGCCACATCTGAGAATTGAGTGGCCCACCAACTCTAAGAGTATCTGATCCCATGGTTGGATATGCAATTGAGCACTTCCCAGAGTTGATGCTGAGTCCTCTCTTTATGTATCTTGTAAAAAGAAAAATCCTCCCAAGCTCATTCAGCCCCAGCATCCTTCCTCTATCTTCCTCACCTAGCCTCTTTACTCCTTCATATCCAGTTCACCTGTCTCCTCTTCCTAAAGGCCTTTTTCACCCTCCAAGAGCCTATCACCTTCCTCCTCCAGCATCTTCCAGTCCCTCCTTTCAACTCTGTACTGTCACTCACAAGAATCTGTCACTCTCCTAACAAATACATCTGCTTAAGAGCAGGAGCAGCCTATTTATCTCCATCTATTAAAAAACTAACCCAGTGCCTAGCATGCTATGCTCACTCTGTGTGTGTGTGTGTGTGTGTGTGTGTGTGTGTGTGTGTGTGTGTGTGTGTATATATGTATGTCTGTGTGTGTGTGTGTCTGTGTATGTGTGTGTCTGTGTATGTGTGTGTGTTGCTTACAAAAGAAGAGGGGAAGGAGGAAGCAAAAGACAGAAAGAGAGGGAGAAAAGGAAGGGATGGGAGGGGAGGGAGGGGAAGGAAAAGGGAAAGGTTTCTGCTGTCTGTCAGGCACACTGAGATCTCAGATACCTATTAATCCCCACCCAGAAAGTAGAAGGCAAAACTATGCCTCAGAACAGAAGACTCAGGTTCCTAAACCAATTCATTCTCTCCTGTTTCTACCAGAGTATTTGACATGAATTCCAGACTTCATCCTCAAATCCAAAGGGAATTCTTGGCTCACATAGGCTCCAGTGACACTCATGGCCTTCACCCACAACAGAGTTGGGGCTGGACCCAGCTGCAAGGGCAGGAGCAGATATGGTACACAGAACTGCCTATGACTCCTGCACTAGATGGGAAATGTTAAAACTTCTATCAGCAGAAGCAAGTTATAAAAATTATTACCTTTCCTTTTCATTAGTTTTATGAACTTTTCCCAATAATGAGCTTAATCGCTCACTCATGCAGAAGAGGATGAAAAACCAATACTGCAAAAGTGAGAGGCAAACAGAGAGGGCAGAAGAGCACATCAAATACCTAATGCCTCTCATTATGTCCAGACAGGGCTACAGGTCTAAGGGTATGAGACTTAGTCACAGAGGCACAACGGAGGCTTGGCAGCAAGTTCACTCCAACAGCCAGCAGGTGTGCCTTAGGTTTACCTGCTCCTAGTGCAAGAAGGAAAGCTCTCATCCACACACATCTACAGTCTACCAGGCCCTGAAGCTCTGCCCTGAGGGCTGCCAAGTCCCAGCCTGTTAGCACTTGTATGCAGAAGGCGTGGACAGTGTGGAAGGGGGGAAAAGTCTCCATACATAGTTCAAGAGTTTTTTTTTTTTTTTTTCTCTCCATCTTTTTCCCTCTTGTTTAAAGTTTAAGGTTTCCCCCATTTAAATGTTCCAGAGTTAGAGTTCTCTGCACTGAAAGTACTTGCCAATGTCACCCATCCACAGCGATCAGCTTCCTTTGCACTGATGGAAATAGCACCTGCCCAACACTGACAACTGACACAAAAAGTGCCTTAGTTCCCTTCTCCTGCAGAAGGCTGCAGGTCTCCAAAGCCACCTGCTACAACATCTCTTCTAGAAGGTTTGGTATTGCATCTGCTGCAGGTCCTTCTATGAGAGGTGCACCTGCTGCAGCACTGACCAATAGAAACCAACTCCAGCAAATTAAAAAAAAAAAAAAAAGAGTGAAATGGTAATATCAGCAGATGACATGATCTTCAAGAAGGTAAGAGGACCAGAGCAAAAACAAGGGTATCCTGGAGGGGTAGGAGAGAGCAAAAGATATAACCTAACAGCGTAACGGACCTCATAGCCCACCTAAGATGTAATAAATAACTACCACCCTGGCCTCCCACTCTCCCTCTGTACTCAGTTCAAACTGAACTCCCTGGGAAGGGGCTGTCTCTCCCTGGCTGAACTTAGGACATATGCCCAGATCTAGCTTCCACTATGGCACTGAAATTAGAATCTTACTGAGGCAGGAAAGCTCCTGAAAGAAGATCTGAACTCTAGTCATATGGAGAAAAGGATGTGGAGCAGCCAGAAGTGGAAACACCTACAAAACCAAATAAAGTATTTTCAGCTTGAATGGACTTGCTCTATTATTCCCTGGAAACTCTGGTTTGCAGAAGTCATCATCCATCTAGGAAGCTGGCAGAAAGCTAGTAGGGGCACATTCTCTTCATTCTAAGGTAGCAATTCATTACCAAGCACACAAACAAAACCCCCACACCTGCATAGGGGCAATTAAGCCCCTCCCACTTAACCAACAGAAGTACTTACCCTAGGGACAGTCAATGTGAAGACAAGAGGGAAGGCCTAGCTTCTTTTTTGCAGGTTAAGGAAAGGGAGGCTGTGAATTCCTCTTCACTATCCTTAACACCTTTCAGGTGTAAATGAGTGAGCGCACTCCTGTGGGCTGCCATATTCTTCTCTCTAGAACTGTCCCAGGTGAGATGACTCCTGCCTTGCTCAGTCCACATGACTAACCTTGTATCTCTAGAAAGTGATCTTTTGTCAGGCTGCCTGCAATGGAGTGACAACCTGCCTCTCTGCAGACATCCTCTTTTTTAGGAAACCTCAGGTACTGTTCTAAAAGCACAAGTCAGATAGCCCATTCCCAATGTTACAACTGTCTCTACTGTTTCAAGCCACTGAAAGTCTTCTACAATCTGGCTTCCGGCCTTAATCATCTCATCCTGTATCCCACTACTTGTCTTAACTACTTCCTAGTCCTAGTGGCTACTTATCTTTCAGGGTGAGGGCCAATGTCATCTCTAGTTTACCAGCAGGGTACAGCACCCCCAAATAGTTCATCTCTGCCATTTAACACTGACTGGAACCAACTCAGTCTCTTTCAAAGTTCCCAAGCTACTCCTGTCTTTGCCCCAAAAATGAAATGTCCTGAAGGCCTGGAGCTAAGAGCTAGTATCTTCCAGAGCACCCACCAAATGCTTTGAAAAGCTGTGTGATCAGGACAGTTAGCTTTATCTTTCTGCCCATCTCCTCCCACAATTGCAATCTTATCCATTTCTGCACCCTTCTGTATACATACACTACTAACCTAATGGAGGCAAAGATGCCCCCTAGACTCAAATCCATGGTCTCCAAAGCAAATGTGATTAGATGCTGCCAACAGCCAGACCACAACCCCTTGTCAACAGCCTGGTTTTGTTTGTCCACTTCTCTACCATGGCAACAAAAGGATCCTAGTTGCAAGACAGCACAGTCTCCCTAGTCACTCTGGGTTTGAATGGTTTAGCTCTGGGCACCCAGTGAAATCCATGCAATGGAATGGAAGAGAAAAGCTACTGGGGGTGGCTCTGGGAAATCTGTCCTTACTGACAGAGACAGAGGCTGACACAGCTTTTCTCCTGCAACTCAGAGTTGTAATCACAAGGAAGCAGCAGCTATTATGGAATTGTGGCAACAGTCAGGCTGAGTGTGGCTAGTTCACTGGGACAAACAGAGAGGAGGGAGGATGATGATGCCAGTGAACTGCTGAACTGGTCCACCTTAGGAGTGCGCTTAGACTCCTTACTTGTAAAATAAACTTTGCATTAAAACAGGAAGAATCCTGACTAACAGCTCCGATCAATTAGATGCATTAATAACAGTAGCAGCAGTCATAGCACTCTTTCATTATTTGCCAGTTCGTGCTAAGCCCTGGGTAGTTATTATCTCTGACCCCTGGGGCAATCCTGTGTGTGAGCATCATGATGCTCCAACAAGGCTCAGTGTGCTGAAGCTGTAAGCAAAGGGCTAGGCTTTGCACCTGGACTGCCATGCTGTGAAAATTATGTGCTTGGTGTCACACATGCATGACCCAGAGCCCCACCCCTATGCCCTCCTGACACAAATGGCATTGCAGCGATACACCAGTGATGGCTATGACAAATGAGACTCTCAGTCCCCCATGGTTCTAGAGGCCTAAAGCCACAGGAATGGACTTTGACAATGTGGCAAAACAAATCAGTGAGTCAAGAGTCTGAAGACTCCAAGTTCCCAGTGCCTGGAAAGTACTTTTCCCCTGAGCCACAACTTATATAGCCAGCTGTAGAGCAACCTCGGCCCCAGCTCCTGGGCCAGCTCAGAAAGACCACTCACCAGCAGTGCTGACTTCTGCTGCTCACGGGTGGGGCTGGCCCGCTTCTTAGGCAGTGATGCCTTCAAGTGCTTCTCAACTGCCTCTTTCTCCCTTTTCGCCACCTTGGCCAGCTCATCCTGGACTACAGCCTGCTCCTGTTGGAACCTGGTAGGGAGAGAAACAGAGAAACTGATGCAGAAGTCATGACTGGAAGAACATGGGAAGGAAAAGACCTGCCTGCTCTCGATACCTGACTAAGCAGGGATGGGGTTTTCTGACACCTTGTCTACCCAGAAGCACAGGACAATTCTTTCACCTGAGGGGAAGCCTCAGTGACAGCACCCCTAACCATGGGACAGTGACACTAAGACAACACAGATCAAAAATAGTAGAGCTAGTCACAGGCAAAGAATCGGACAGTCACCTGCCAGAGGAAGTGTGTCAGGGCAGAGATGAATCTCATGAGTGCCATCTTTTCAAACAAGTAGGCAGGATGGGCTATATCCTTCTTGTTTGGCTGAGAGCATGAAGGTTTTAAACAGCAGCAGTTTGGGGTTTTAAGCATCTAACTTTGTTCTGAGTATAGCCATACCCTTTGACCTGTCCTGGAATTCTGCTAGTATATCCTAGTAGATAAAAGTTAGCAGGACTAAGATGCCCTCCACATTGTTCATGAAAGTAAAATAGTGCAAGCAGCATCAAGGTCACCATAGAGGAAATGCCATAGCACCATAGCCCCACTGCCAACTTGGATTTATCTGTAATAAGTTTAATGTAAAAATTGAGAATGAATAAACAATCTGATTAGTAATAAACATGCTTGAAAGCAGGTGTAACTGATAGAAAGTAATTATAATAGTAAGTTAAGCAGCAAGATATGAAAATGCCTATGACATTAATATACCCTAAGCTAAGGTAAAGACATGGTGTGCAAGAAACATCCCAGAACAGCCACAGCAGTTACACTGAGATAATGAGTCTGTGGGGATTTGTTTTCATTTTATGTATTTTTCTAAATCTTTATCAGCAAGTATTACTTTAAAATTGTTAAAAGTTACTGAGGGGAGTGGGGAGGTTGTACATTCCAGGAGATGCCTTTGGGATTCAGGAGGGTAAATTTTGAGAACACAGGTCTTTACCTAGGGCTGTCCTGCTAGAGGGCAAGCTCCCAGTCAGAGCTTACACTGTCCATGGGCTGAATCTGGGCCCTAAGACTACACAGTAGCTGTTTCCTCCAGGATGGTGAGGAAGCCCATCAGCAAAGGCCACAGAGGACAGTCTCTGTGAACTGTGGCCAGGCACCATGCCTACTCCTGACTATGCTCCCGTTAAGAACATCCTCCTCTTACTCCTTCTTATGCAGTGATTTCTCCAGGTGACAACTGTGGGTCAAACAATCAGGAAGCTGGCCTATACAAAGAGGCCTCTGTGTCCTAGACACTTTTCTATACATCCCAGGGGCAAAGAAAATGGTCTGTAGTGAGCTCTGGAGACCATGGCCTGATGCTGGCAGGAAGTTCATCACATAAAACTGGGGAAGCCACACTTCCTTCACTCCTCTAAGAACCTGTCTCTTCAGTGCTAGGTTTTAAAGATGGATTCGCCTTTGGTCACCAAGTTTCCTATGCCCTTTTCAGTGTATTTCACCTTCAAATTAGGACCAGCACTACCTAGAGTTGTGTTTTAACACAAGTAATATAAAATATGAGGCAAGTGCTCCAGGTCCTGGCAGGAGGTGAGTGGTGGGTATGGGGAGATGCAGACTCTTAGGCTTACCTCTTGAGATCCTCTTTCACTGCTGAGGGTTGCTGACCACCACCACTCTCTGCCCTGGGCACTTTGGAGTCTGCAAAGGAACCAGAGGAAAAGGGCCAATCAGCAGCCAGGACTGATGAAGAAAGGGTGCAGGAACACACACACACACACACACACACACACACACACACACACACACACACACACACACACACACACACACACTGCACTCCCTCAGGAAACTACACTCTGCATTCGGACAGATGTCCCTATGGAAAGGCACACTCATGCACAGACTGTAGTTCCAGAGGCAGATAGGAGCATAGTCTCAATTCAACCAGTCTGCAGAGCCAAGTGACAGGAAGCTGCTCTGCCCACAGGTTCTGCAGCAGGGCATCTTCGTTGTGGGGCTGGCAGCAAACCACCTGAGTGCTGCCCTCTAAGTTCACCATTACTTGCCCCACAGCTGTGAGAACTCTGAGGTTACCTCTTAGACACAGGCCAGACATGGCTGAGGGTGGTCACTCCTCTGCCATGTGCCTGCAAGAGGAGGGTAGAGGCTCTTGTATCCTGTTTATTTTTATACTTGCCATGGTTTGAATGCTTGACCCTCTAAAACTCAGGGTGAAACATAACTACATTCTAACAACAGTAAGAGGCAAAGCCTTTAGTAGCAATTAGGATTGGAAAGCTCCCACCATGGATGGCATTGTTAACTTTGTAAGATAATGAAAAGCCTGAGCTCTCACACTTGCTCTGCCCCCATGTGAGGCCCTATGCTGAGACTGTGCCCAATCCTCATCAACAAGAAAGCCCTGACCAAATGCTGCCCTTTGATTTTGTTCTTCCCAGGTCCTAAATTGTAAGAAATTGACTTCTTTATAAATTATCCCAACTACGGTATTAAGTCATAGCAACCAAAAACAGCATCCATGTGAACAGATTCCTAATCCTGGTGTGGCATTCTCTCCATATTAAAATATCTTGCTTCTTTAAGTACAGAACTAATGGGTTGTTGGAAACTTCTCTCATGATGATAATGAAGATACTCCTCCCCTCCACAGCTTCCATCTTTCCAAATGTGCCCTGAGTCCCCCACCGATACCTCAGGATTCTAAGGCAGGAGCACTAGCACCAAATATCAGCAAAGGGCCAGGCAGAGAGCAGGAGAGGCATTCACAGGTCTGCTATTCCATTCCAGACGGAGGGCATGTCCAAAATGACCACATGCACCCATGTGAGGACAGTGGCACAGCTGAGATCTGAGGGAGTCATATCACATGCTCCTCAGGCTCTCACCTGGAACTGAAGCAGAAGTAGACTGCTACTGGAGCCTGCATTTCTACAGTAATGCTTCTCCTACTCATTTATAAGAGACTTGTTTGGGTAAAAATTATGGTATTTGTTTTTGTTTTGATAGAAAATTCACCTTTTTCTGTGCTGGGAGTATAACTCAGCTGGTAGGGTGCTTGCCTGGCACACAGGAAGCCATGGGTTTTACCCCAGTACCACATATACCAAGTATGGTACATACCTGTGACCCTAACGCTGGAGAACTCAGACAGGAAGAGCAAGAGTGCAAAGTCATCCTCAGCTACATACAAAATTCAAGACCAGCGGGAGTACATGAAACTTTGACTCAAAAAAATAATAAATAAAAATGTTCCTTTCCCAAATTAAACATAATGCCCTTCCCCACTGCAGATACTGTGGCCCTGATCCACCAACCTTCCTCCTGTGGGCCCACTCAGGTTCCTGCTCCCTCAATACTGAGCACCTTCTAGAATCTCTCTGCAAGTATCAGTGATGAGGGGCTTTTACAGCAAACATCTGTCCATTGTACTCATTCTCAACTGAACCATCATAAAGACCTTTCAAACTCCACAAACACAAGGGACAGCATGGTCAACATTCTACTCCCCCCACCCTTCAACCATCCCTCAGTTATTTTTCTTCTAAACCGACTGTAATTTCTTAGAGCTTCCCACCTTCTTTTCTAGTCCACTTATGGTGGTTGGAACCTTCTCATCTCAATGGCCTCAGTTCCTGCACCTGAGCAATGGTGTGAGGGAATGATTTCATTTTAACAGTGTTGTCTAACTTACTTCTATTACTAACACAAAGGCAAAAACTACGTTTAAAAGATGCCTTAAAACCAGCCCATTTCAAGCCGGTCCTTTTCTGCCAAATCTTTTTCCACATTCAGAAACTTAAAACATACTCTGCAAAAATATTTTGTGCAAAAACTAAGTGATGACTGAATTTCCATTATTCCTTTCAAACAGCTGAAACTTCCTGAAACTGAAGCCAGTGCTTATTCTCCAAAGCTGAGGTGACACTGCATTGTGACAATCTTATTTCCCATTGCTCTCTTCCTCTTTAGGGGGTCAAGCTAGACCCCTTTCAGCCCCTCTCATCTCTAGGCCATAGAACTTGTAGGGAAGAGGCATGCTGTGTAAAGGACAGGGACGGAAGGCTGAGCTTATCCAGCCCCATTCACTAAGATCTCAGAGCGAAATCCAGGCTCTGATTGGCTCTAAGGCTGGTGAGAAGCCCTGAGGCCTACAACACAGTAGGAGTGTCAGAGCTCTCTAGCCCATTGGAGGTGACAATAGCCAATGTCTCCCCTTCCTTTGGACTTCGTAGTCTGGAGACAGCAAACTGCTTCTACATCTTCAACAGGACAGGCTGAACTCCACCTCTAAGCCTCTGCTCCTACTGTTCACCTGCCTGAAAATCCCACCCACCAAAAGCCCTGTCTTCTCACATTCAGGCAGACCCTGCCTAACTAAGGTAAGGAGCATGCTCTGCACCACCCCTGGCCCTAGGCAGCTGGCATGAGCTTCTGGTGCTACATGGTGACATCATGTCATGAGCCCCAAGCTGGATATATTGCCTTTAACCAGAGCTGTATATACCCTCAGAGAGGGGCTTGTCTACCTGCCTTGTGTTCCAGTAATGATCCCTGAACAAAAGTAGACACTCCCAGTCTCTACTCTTACAAACTCTCAAAAAAGATGGGTAGGAAGGGCAGCAGCAACTCAAGGCCACACACCAAAGCACCCACCCAGGGCAGAGTCTGCCCTCTATAGTGACTCATTTAAAAACAAATAATCAAATTTCAAGTAACAGACCAGATTCTAGTCAGCAAGGGTTCGTTGACTAGAACAGCAAGTACTCCAAAGCCTTCTGAAAACCCTGTCTCCACTGTATCTTGCAGTCCCCTCTTCAAGGCTTTTGTTTGTGTTTTCTACAAGCAATTGTTTGAGAGGAGCACAACAGAGCAGCATGGGTGCCAGCTCCACAGTGGCCAGGGTGTCTTGGGAGGGTCAGATTAGGTGGCTGAGGTTAGTGCCAGCACTGCTCTTCTTCCATTCTTGAATGGCAGCTAGGGTAGTACTGCTATAGCTGAATGACACTTCTGCTTCTTCTGGATCCTGAAAAGCAGACGACTCCCTACCTGAGCTGTCAGACCACAACCTTCTGCTTCATCTTTTTCATGTGCAGACATGGAAACACTGTGAGGCAAACAGTCTGGCCCACACCTGCAGCCTACACCGCACCAGACAGTGTCTGCTGCATGGAGTGCCACTGTCCCAGAAAGCAGTGGCTCGTGACTCGTATCACTCAGAAGTAAAGGCAAGCACAGCAGCAGTCAGGCAAACCTCTCACAGCCTCTGTTTCCACTCCCCCAACATACCTGTCGGAGGGGCTTTAAAGGCGCCTTCTGAGGGGTCACTTGAAGAAGGTGGAGGAGCGATGGGCACAGGCATGGAGGGCACAGAAGTGGTAGATGGAGGGCTGGTAGGTGCAGGAGTGGTTGGTGCAGGAACTGTGGGCACAGGGCAAGGACCTGCTGAAGGCTGGCTGGAATCCTTCATGCGGTTCACCACACTTTCAGACAGCTTTGGGAAGAAGTGAGAAACGGGGAGTTACATGACTGAAACCTTGAAAATTCATCTCTAGAACTACTGAATGACTTTTTTGAAAAACCAGCTCCAATAATATAATTCGACTCAAAAGCCTCTCTCAGTGTTCAGTGCCAAACACACCTAGAATTCCAAGCCTATCCCAGGAAGTCCCCACTGGGTTCTGCAGCTTTTTCTCCATCTTGTCACCCTCTATACACACCCTACCCTTGGGGTTACATGACTCACATCCCTTACTTCCCTCTCAACCAACCTCACTGGTCACTCCTATCTATCATCAGTGGTCCATTCAGGACAGCTCAGTGTTCCCTTCCCAGGAGCCTTGGGGTGCACTCAGGTGGAGCACCAGCTCCCCCCTCTCTGCACCCACTGTTACAACACATGCCGGGGAACAGCATGCCTCCACAACCCTGCAGGCCTGGCCTGTTGGTGTGTGGAAAGTTCCAGCACTGACACTCATTCCTCACCTGCTCTAGTCACCACACACGGCAGATAATCAAAACACTTGTTGATTCATTTCACCTGATTCCCCTAATGAAGCCTTGGTAACTGAAACACTCACTTTCCAAAGTAGGTAAAATGGGCATGAGGGTGTCATAAAACAGTTTACATAGATGAAGTAGTGAGCTAGAGATAAATCCCAGATAAAAACCCTTAAGAGTTCACTTCAGTAAATATTTATTAAGTGCCTAACATTCACAGGCTATCATAAGGCACAGCTGAAGAGAGACATTAAAAATGGCTTCAGGACAAAAGGCACAATCAGCAGTTCTATTTCCAGATACCTATGGAAAGAAAGCAGCTTCCTGTATGCACAGGGTTGTGCTAGGATGCTCACTGTGGGAGGCAGACAAATCCAAAATGCTGCAGCAGAACCAGGTGTGGTGGTACCTGCCTTTAGTCCCAGCATTTGAGAGGCAAGAGAATCACTGAGTTCCAGCCCAGCCTGGCCTACAGAGAGAGTTCCAAGACAGCTACAGCTACACAGAGAAACCCTGTCTTTAAAAACCAAAGCAGGGGGAACATCCAGGACGAAATGAGTTAAAGAACTCAGTGCATACTGTTACGAATCTCTGTTCTGGTCACACTCCTCCCATTCCAGACCCCATCCCTCAGAAAGCCTTACAAGGATCAGCTCCTCCCCCAGAGCTGCTCAAGACCACGCCTACAGGGTATTTAAGACCTGGTCACCAGGCATGGCGCCCCTGTGATCTCTCCCCTGCCTTCCCAAGAGTCACCCAGGAGTTTGCTTTGTTTTGTTTATTAAATCTGGATTATTAATTAGGTTTTATTTGGCTTATGGCATCGGCAGAGGATACCCAATAACTGGGGATCCAATACATATCACATACTTTCTGTAAAACATCAAGAACCACCAAAGACTGAGACAGATCACACATGCACTCTCAGGAGTGTGACACACTGCTGACCACCAGCAAGCCTCAGGACTCTATCTCGAAGTAAAAAGACAACAACTATAAAGATGCAAGCAAATCTTACTAAACTGAATAAGCATACAAACATGTATAAACACAAATCCACAGTGAATTTTCACATCTCTGCACAGATGTACATACAGGTTCCACTCAGAGGGGCAGGCCACATGGCTCCTCATCAAATCCCTAGACAGGAAATGGGCAAGGTGTGTGTGTGTGTGTGTGTGTGTGTGTGTGTGTGTGTGTGTGTGTTTCTGTGTTATCTATGTGCATGTGTGTTTATGCCTTACTTTTTTCTTGCCATGATCATTTCTTTGACATCTAAAGAGTATATTTATAATTGAAGGTATACAAAAATCAAGGAACTGATGATGCAGGGCAATCCCACCCATCGGTAGAATAGAACAGACAGCCCAGAATGAACCTGTATGTCTATGGCCAACTGATGGTACAAAGGGTTATGTAGCTAGCTAAATCTGGTCCCTAAGGATTTGTGTTGGAAGTTTGGTCCTCAGTGTGGCCATGCTGGAAGGTGATGGGACCTCTAAGAAGTGGGCATGGGGCTAGCCATTACCGTTCTCCACTCTTTGGCTTCCTGTCTGAGATGTGATGTCTCTCTAGCATTCTGCCACTCTTGTGATTTGCCATGAGGTTAGGCAGCCAGGAGATTCCTCACCAGAGTTAGCAAGCACCCTGGGTCGCTGAACTTTCAGTCATCAAAACTGGGAGCTAAGCCAGGCATGGTGGTGCACACCTTTAATCCCAGCACTCAGGGAGGCAGAGGCAGAGGCAGAAGTATCTCTGTGAGTTCAAGGCCAGCCTGATCTACAAAATGAGTTCCAGAACAGCCAGGGCAGTTATACAGAGAAACCCTGTCCTGAAAAACCAAAATCAAAACGAAATAAAACTGGGAGCTAAATAAGCCTCTTTTCTTTGTAAGTACTCAGCTTCCAGGTAGTCTAGCACAGTAGCAGAAAACAGATTGTCGACAGCACAGGGAAAGAGTAGCCTCATCCATAATAATATATAGACAACCTGATATAACTCACACACAAAGTAAAAGAGTTGGACCCACACTAAAATATACATTAAAAGACTAATTTAAAACAGATCACTAATCTGAAAGAAGGGGGAAAAAACTCTTAGAAGAAAACAAAGAGGTAAACTGAATGACTTATTTTTGACATAGACTCTTAGATATGTTACCAAAAGTAAAGGGAACCAATTATGGATAATTGGATTCCATAAAAATTAAAGTTCTGTTTATCAAAAGAAATTCTAAAGCAACTGAAAAGATAACCCACAAAATGGATAATACATTTGTAAATCATACCTAACAGGGGACTTGTATCTAGGATATACAAAAGGAGCTCCTACAATTTACAACAGGAATAAAAATGGCCCAACTGAAATAGAGTGGTGTGGTCTGGCTCAGTGTCATTCAAAGGCCTACATGATGAAAGCTGGTCCTTAGGGTGTCACTACTGGGAGGTGGTGGAATCTTTAGGCAGTGGAGTCCAGTAGAAGGTGCCCTCAAGAGATTGCGGGACCCTTCTGTGTTCTCTCCTTCCTTCCTGTTTAATGAGGTGAACAATTGGTTCTGATGCATATTCTCATGATGTGCCACTCTCATCAGTGTCCAGAGTAATGAAACCAACAGTCATGGAGCAGACTCATGAGCCAAAGTAAAACCTCCTGACGCCTTAACTACCTCAGGTATTAGGTCACAGTAACCCAATGCTAATACCATGGACAAAAGATCTGAACAGAAAGTTCTATAACAAAAAGAGACAAAGAGCTAAGAAGAACATGAGAAGATAGTTAATAACATCATCAGTCATTACTGAGATACAAAAATCATGGCACAATGAGAGGACACTTCACATCCATCAAGATAACTGCAATCAAATGTCACAACATGGTGTCACAAAGCTATGAAGATCAGAAGCCTCACACTGTGGGGTATAAAACAGTATAGCCAGGACAGGGAAGAGTCCAGAAAGCTCTCCAAAAGTTAAACATAGACCATATGATCCAGCAGTACCACCACACAGGACAAGCCAAGGAGAAAAGAAGCATGCCCATATATACCTCTAATGTTCACAACTGCTTATCCAGAGTGGCTGAAAGGAACCACCCAGATGTTCAACTAATACATAAATAAGTAAAATAAAAACACAGATACAATGGAATACTATTGAATAATAAAAAGGAATGAAATGTTGATGCATAGCACAACACAGACAACCCTAGAAAACATGCTAAGTGAAAGAAGCTAGACATTGGCAGACATAGCCTATATGACATAGACCTTCATCCAGGAAACTCTCCAGACACAAAAAAAGGAATTATCAGCAGTCTGGAGAGAGTGGGAGAGAGGGAGGGAGGTAGGGAGGGTGGGAGAGAGGGAAGGGAGGGAGAGAGGGAGAGAGGGAGAGAGGGTACACGCAAACACAAACATGAACAGCCCAAGGGTGAACAGCAAAAAGAGATGCCCTGGTGGTGGGTTCTGGAAGGCAGGCACAGGGCAGGCAAGAGAAGCTACAGTGTCAGACTGCCTTGCAGGTTTGTTATGGAGGTGAAGTGAGAAGGAGAGGCTAGTGGACAGGGAGAGAGCACAGCTACTGCCACCAATTCTTGTAGGAAGACAATAGTTACAAAAGTGGGCTGGAGAGCTCATACAAAGAAACTTCTCTGATGAAGAGCCAAACTATTGTAAAAGCTATGAGCAAAGCAGGAAGTTCAAGGAAGGCTTACAAAAACAGGACACAAGAGCAGTGTGGCAGGGAGTGCCTGTGCTAGGGATGTGAGAAAGGCCTATAGCATGAAAGAAAGACTAAGTGGCTGCTGCCTCAACTGGTAGGTATGAGTGAGAGCTAGGACTTAAAGAAGAGAAAGGAGTGGGTAAGAATGAAAAGGGAAAGTTAAGAGACACTTCTAAGAAGGTAACACATTAGTGTGCTGAGACCAGAAAAGGGAAAGAGCCTTCAGAAGCCAGCCAGTTTGTTCTTTCTCTGAGCTATAGCAACTGAACACAATTGGGAAAGCGGAGGTCAGTTCAGAGCAAGAGGAACCAGCCACATACTGAGGTCAAGGCCAGACAAGGTGCACTGAGTAGAATGTTCCTGCAGGGAGCCTCCACTGTGTGAACATGGCTAGATGAAAAGAAAATGTGGGCATCTACTACTGTTCAGGAAACAGCTCCTGAAAGCTGATTTTTAATGTTTCAGAAAATCAATTGATTTCATGAGGGCCATTTGAAATTGACCCTGGGAGGGAGTATTTCCACTACGGAAATTTGGGAATCAACAAACCCTACCAGTAGGGCTCTTTCTGAGATGGAGGAGGGAAGTAGACCAGGGTAAAAGGTCAAGTCTGACTCCAGGGCAAGAGGAGGTCAAGGTGAGGGCTGCCATGGGTGAGTCACAGGCTCTGATTTGCCAGTCCTGGCATACGTGGCATCAACAGAACCACACTGCTTGGTGAGTGAGGGGTTAAGGAAAACATTGGCACAGTTCTTGTTGGCGGTAAGAGATTTGT